GGGACGGTGCGGGGGACTGGGGCGGGCGGGAGCGGGGACGGGTACCAGGAGAGGAAGGTGAAGCGAGACAGCTCCGGAAAATGGGCCGGAAGCTTCTCATTCTTAAGATACAGCCTCAAGGGGCTGACGAAAGCAAGGTTGAGGAAGGAACAGGGAGCGCGGACCGAGAATGAAGCCTCCGTCCTAAGCCTCAGGCGTGATGCTTGGGCCTAGTCAGGCCAGGACTGTGTCTTCAGCGGTTTTTAAAGTAAAAACTGTAAGATGTCATTGGAGGTGCACTGCCGAGTGTGATAGTTATTAGCTGCTTGTGGCTCTTAAGTTTTTAAAATGTGGCTAGTCTGACGGAAGGGCAACATCCATATCAGATTTTAAAGACTTCGTTTTCTTATGACGAAATGATATGCTGTATAAACTGGGTTGAATAAAATATTGCAAAACTAATTTTACCTGTTTCTATTGTCTTAATGTGGCTACTGGAAATGGCATGAAGCAAGTAGGAAAAAGTGGTAACATTGAAAAGAGAATTAGATGAATATGAATGATATTCAGAAGGTGGAAATAATTTGTAATGATGAAATAGGTATAGGGATTAGCTGGAACACTTAAGTAAAGGGATGAATGGTGGTGTTTTTCATTAAGAGAGGAAACTGGAGGGAGACTAGATTTTATAGAGAAGATCATGAGTTTGGATTAAAGTTTGTTGAGTTTATGTTTCTCTGAGACCTCAAAGTGAAGGTGATGTGAAGTAAGAAATTTGGAATATAGGTATCTGAAGCTCAGATAAAAGATCTGGAGTAGAGAAATAAATTGGAGCCAACCGTGATATATTGTGGCTACTAAAGCCTTGGAAATAGATGAGCTTATCCACTAGTGGAGTTTTCGGTGATGAAAGAGACTCTAGGACTGAGACTTGCAGGATCCAAAATTAAGTAACTAGGCAGAAATGGATAAACCTGCAAAGGATACAAGAGGAGCAGCAAGAAGGGTACAAGAATAACCAGAAGAGTATAATGTCCCACGAGCCAAGGGATAAGAATACATAAAAAAGAAAGGGAACAGAAATGAAAAGAATGTCCACCCGTAACTTAGTGGTAACTCTTCTGAGTGGTAAGAGTTAGAAGGTAAATTAGAGTGATTGTGGAGGGAAGTAGAAGATGAAATAAAGGTAATAAATTTAGATAACTCTTAAGGCATTCAGTCTTTAAGGGTAACAAAGATCAGACCCTGTTTACTCATTAAGAGTTTGTGTGGCGCGGTTGGGCGTGGCTCAGCAGTTGAGCATCGACCTAGGATCCAGGCGATCGGGGTTCGATTCCCGGTCAGGGCACATGCCCAGGTTGCGGGTTTGATCCCCAGTTGGGGGCGTGCAGGCGGCAGCCAATCAATGACTCATTTATCATTGATGTTTCTATCTCTCTTTCTCCCTCTCCTTTCCTCTCTCTAAAATCAATAAAGATATTTTTTTTTAAAAAAAAAAAGAGTGTGGCAGAAAAGTTTAACATTTACATAGAGAGGAATTCAGGAATGTATATGAGAGTCTTATGAAATTTTAAATATGTGTGTATATGTCTCTCCGTTTGTAAATTACAATTGAGGGAGTAACTACAACAGTAGAGACTTATTTAGGGAAAAGAGAACCTACTTTACATATAATATGAAAGAATAAGAACATATGAAACATTTATAACTCACAGTATGTGTTATTAGGATGTACTTTATTTTTAATCCTCACCTGAGGTTATTTTTTCCATTGCTTTTCAAAAAGAGTGCAAGTGGGGGAGAGAGAGAGAGAAACATCGATGTGAGAGAGAGACATCATTTGGTTGCCTCCCACGGGGCTGGGGATCGAGCCCACAACCAAGGTACATGCCCTTGACCAGAATCAAACGCCAGACCCTTCAGTCCACAGGTTGATGCTCTAACCACTGAGCAAAACTAGCTGGGGCTAGGATATACTTTTGATAGTTTCACTGATGCTCACGAAGGCCTAATTTACACTAATACAGATTCTTCCTTTTCATAAAGGAGGCGAGATAACAATGGCGGCTGCAGCTGTGGATACAGTTAATGCTGCCCCCCTGTCGGGGTCCAAAGAAATAAGTTTGGAGGAACCAAAGAAGATGACCAGAGAGGACTGGAGAAAGAAGAAAGAGCTAGAAGAACAGCGAAAACTGGGTAATGCTCCTGCAGAAGTTGATGAAGAAGGAAAGTAAGTAATTTTTTTTTGCATGATCTGTTCATTCACAATTCAGATTCATGTTTACTTTATCAATACTTCATCCTTTGACAGGAAGCTGTCTTTACCATTTACATCATGTTTGTTTTATTTTGTCAAACTCTTATGTATAAGGTTTAGTAATCAAATAATATTGACAGACTCATAATGAACAGCTATAGCCCCTTTCAACCCTTCCCACTCCCTGTCCCACTGTACAAAAGTCACTAATTTTAAACCTTTGTATTTTTTAGTTTTTCTGGCTGATACCTCCACATGTCTAATATTCTTAACCTATTGTTTTAATCAACTTTAAGACATTACTGGTTTACTTTTTGCTCTGATACAAGGTTTATCTCACTAAAATATATCTCTTTTCCTCCTTCAGTTATATCACTATTCTTACACTATTCTTAGTTTCTTTGGGGGAAATTTTTTCACTTGAATTTAAATTACTTTATTTTTTATTGTTTTATTATAGAGATATCAAGTGTATTCTCCCCTCTGCCCCTCCCCCCCCCACACACAGAGCAATATCTATTCTTAGATTCTGTATAGGCTACCTTTAATAATTGTAATAGCAGTTATTTTATTTTATTACAGAGACATCAATCCTCATATTCCTCAGTATATTTCTTCAGTGCCATGGTATATTGATCCATCAAAAAGACCTACTTTAAAGCACCAGAGACCACAACCAGAAAAACAAAAGCAATTCAGCTCATCTGGAGAATGGTACAAGAGGGGTGTAAAAGAGGTTTGTAGGAAACCTTTATATATCCATGTGGAAATGGAGATTGTATTTTAAGAACTTAATATAACAACTTTCAATACAATATTATATAAAGTAGAAATAGATTACATAACCTTTTATCAGGTATTAATATTCACAATACATATATTTCTGTATTTTATAAATTTTATATTGCTGAAGTTCTTAAACTTTCTCATTTATGAAAGTGTAGGAGACTTTAACTGGTTATCCTCTTAACAAGTAAATCATTTCACTGAACAATATAATGAGAGCCACTGTTATTTCTAACTTATTCAGATAAATAAAACATTTCCTTTGTTTTTCTTTATATTCACTTATAGAATTCTGTAACTACTAAGTACCGCAAAGGAGCATGTGAAAATTGTGGGGCCATGACACACAAAAAGAAAGACTGCTTTGAGGTAAATTCACCTTTGAGAATTGTGGAAACTATTGTCAGAGTCTCTCTTTCTTCATTCCTTGTAATAGAGCTTAATTCTATTTTTCTAAAATTATCTATACTTAGCTACCAGTTAAATGAAAATTAATTTGAGTGAAATTAGTTCAGCAGCATCAAATTTTTTGCTGGAAGACTAACTGGTAATTTTATAAATAAACCATAAAGTCCCATGGTATGTTCACACAAGCTCTGTAAAGATTATAGGACATTTTCCTCTGGGCTACAGATACTTAGGGAAAGATTTAATCTTATTCTGTTTTTTAGAGACCTAGGCGAGTTGGAGCAAAATTTACAGGAACTAACATAGCTCCAGATGAACATGTCCAGCCTCAGCTGATGTTTGACTATGATGGGAAGAGGGATCGGTGGAATGGCTACAATCCAGAAGAACACATGAAAATTGTAGAAGAATATGCCAAAGTTGATCTGGTGAGCAAAACTCCCTGATTTCCTAGTGTCCTTAAAGAATGTACATTTTGCTCTATCTCTAATTTAGCGACTCTATTTTTTGAGCCTTCAAGCAGTTTAAAAATGGAGGCATTTTTATGTAAGACTAATTGAATAATGAATATAAATAGTGTGCTGCCCCCACTTGGTAGCAATTTCTTTTTATTTGATTCTTGTGTTGTCCTTTACTCCCTGACTTAGTTTGCAAAGAATACTGGAAGCTTGAGAACAGATTAGTGTCCAAGCTTTTGGCTTTTTGAGGTTATAAAATTGGTTCCCAGACTATCTTGCCACATGGGACTGTTTTACAATTGTCTCAGAGCATTTAGAGGGTGGTAGAAGGAGACAAAGATAACTTATTTCAGAAAATCGATTTTTTTTAACTAAACCTCAAC